GAGTGTGTGGCCATCGGGTCCTACACTCAGCTCAAAGAGCGCGGCATTGATCTCATGGCATATCAGAGACAAACCGATGGACCAAATGATAGCATAGATATGAAACGGAGGACATCTGTCACACCATCAATGGTCTCATCTCTTAGTGAGGGATCGGAAGGGACGGACGTTAGGGAACCGATAGAAGCAAACGAACAGGAAGTGAAACCTGAACTCAAAATGATTGGATCCGTTGAGACAAATATTTATATGGAGTACATTAAGGCGGGCGCTCGACCTCTGCTCATAACACTTACCATTTTGTTTATAATCGCTTTACAAGTCTTCTATCAGGGAAGCGATTATTGGTTGAGCTTATGGTTAGTACAATTATTAAAAAATAGATTTTTAAATTCTGTCAATATTTTAGGACTAATCAAATAAACAATAAACCAGACGAAGTGGACCAGACATTCAATATAATAGTGTACACGAGTCTAATGATTGGTCTGTTTGTGTCGGCCCTGTTGTCCACCATTTGTTTCTACATAATGTGTATGAGATCTTCGGTTAATCTCTATAACCGAATATTCTATGCATTATTGCGATCACCGATACATCTCTTCGAGAGTTCGCCCATTGGTTACACTCTTTCAAAACATTCTAAAAAATTCAATTTAAATAATTAACATTTCATTGATTTTTAGGGCGAATACTTAATAGGTTTTCAAAAGACACGGGAATTGTCGACGAAGTGTTACCATCGGTTGCTTTTGAATTTATTATTGTAAATTATGGTAATTTAATTAATTCATGAAGCTAATTGTTTATAATTATTTAATAGAATTCATGTTTTATTATCGGAAATCTTATATTGAATGCAATTGTCAGTTGGTTTCTGATATTTCCGGCAATACTTTTGTTGATATTAGTGTTTATTTGTCGCTATTTCTATATCAAAGCCGCGCGTGATATTAAGCGAATGGATGGGGTTATGTAAGTTCATATCAATTAACTATAAATCATTAAATAAAAAATTATGCTCATTGGTGTTATAGAGAGCAATTGGGAATTATTGTTATAAAATGAAAGAACACTCAGTTGGTAGTCGAGTGATGCATTTTATATGTCCACATGCTTTTTATGCACTTTTATGCGTAAAAGTTGGAAAATAAAATCTTTTATTTTATAATTAACCATATAATATAATATTAAACTATTTTCCTGGAAGATAGTTTTCAAAAATGGGAAATGACGAACGATATTAATATTATATATCAATAGAAAAGTATTAATGAGTAGAATCGATATCAAAAGTCAGTTACACACTGTATGTACGTTCTTATAGTGAATAACGTAATTACTGAAGATTATTTATATCCATTTGAATTATGCTTACAATAATAATTAATTTCACAAATTTAAAAATAATATTTTTTAATATAAAATATTTTCATTTTACCCATTAACATTAAACTTTGTCCTTGCTCTCTCACTTTCCTATAGCCCGGAGTCCGGTGTACTCTCACGTGAACACAACGCTGTGTGGGCTGACATCGATCCGTGCGTTCGGCGCACAGCATATGTTTGAGCGTCAGTTTGAAGTCCACCAAAACGACAACACCTCTACTTTTTTCCTATTCATCTGCACTTCACGAGCACTCGGAGTCTTAGTGGACAACATTTGCGTATTATATCTCAGTTGTGTTATTGTGTATATCATGACCACCAATGATAGTATGTCGTCAAATATTTTTAACTTTATAAATAATTTTAAAAAACATTTTAATTTTGTTTATTATTTAACAGATATTCCCGGAGGAAATGCTGGACTTTTGTTGACATCGGGTATAATATTGATATATTAACCAATATTTTATTTAAATTACTGACAAATATTAATAAATGTAATTTTCATATAAGCCCTGTCGATTACGGGTTTGGTGCAATGGTCTATTAAATCATCGACTGATACCGAGTCCCATATGACTTCTGTCGAGCGAGTCTTAGAATACACAGCCATTAAACTCGAGGCAGAGCTCGAGTCCACTCCCGACCGGAAACCACCCAAAGATTGGCCACAAATGGGAGAAATAGTGTTCAAAGATATGAGTCTTCAATACAACGAATCGCCGCATAAA